TATAAAAATATTTTTTAAAAATTTTAAAAATAATTGGATTAAACGAGTCGAACGGTGTAAACTCGTAATTTGATACGTGTCTGACTAGCAACTCATTTAGGTCAACCCAACCCAAATAGGTCACAGATCTAATACTAAATAACCCTAACTTGCATTTTATGGGTTGAGTAAAGTTAAGTTAACAGATTAAATATGATTTTATCACCTCTAAATTCAATTATTAGAATTTAATATAAATAAAACCGCTTCAGTTAATACTTAGATACTTTTTTTTTGTATTAATCTTTAAATATTTAGTAATCATATTGGATTCTCACTAATTTAAAATCGAGTCGGGTCGAACTTTATTAGAGAGAAGCTTTTTTACCACTTATTTCATCATTTATAAAACTCGAACTTAAAATCTTATTTAAGAGAAACTGATTTCTTTTTACTAAAATCAGTAGATCGTTAGTGTTAATTCTTCTCTTTTTTTTTGGTTTCCCGCCCGGTATCCGAGGTTTCGCCCCGACTACTTCGGACTCGACCAACTGTGGCGCACCAGAATTGTAGGTGGGTCTCCCAACGAAGGCTACTGCGTACACAAGGTTTCGAATTCGAGATTTTACTTAAACTGAAACAAGCTGATTGCCACTTAATCCAACCCCTCGTTGATTAGTGTTAATTCTTATATATATATTATATATATGTTTATACCTTCAATTTTAAATAAAATACTAATAATTTTTTAATAAATATATTGTGAGTTTGCATGTTAGATTTAGTATGCACCAATAAAAAGAAAGGAGGGTTACCAGAATCTCTAAATCCCTAACCTTAGCTAGAATTCACTGCCGCAATCGAAAATCAAAGATGGCAGTAGCGACGGGGAGAAATAGATATTCCGATGTTACAGAAGGAACGAGTCGCGCGGTATAGTTAATCGTCAAACACACCGCCAACGGCATCAAAGTTGAATTAGAGATCTTCAACAACCTACCCTCAGAAAAGCCGATCGAAAGATCTTCTTAACGGATTCAACTACCGCTCTAATTGGTTCCTCCCTGTACGTCCTCGATCGGATGCCGAGGCAACAAGGGCCGATCCTCTGATCATGTCCCCTGTATTAACCCAACCAAAGGTCGGAAGTCATGTCCCATGCGCCTCTAATTTTACCATCTCTGTTTCAAGTAATTTCATCTTCCTGTTCCCTCAATATAATAAGTCTCCCGGCTGCTTCTATGATAGAGGAGGGTAAAGAAATCCAACTTGCACCCTCGATGATCCTTGGTATTAGCGACTTCCTATGGATTCTATTCCCTTTTGTGCTGCTTTTGATGATGAACCTTTCAGGACTTGTGGGATATGTATATTCTGTAATTCTTGAGAAAATTTGAATCTCTATGACACAGATAGAATTCAATTTTAAATTCCCTACAATGGGATCAGCATTGAAGCCATTAGAACAAATACTGTTGATAAGCAGTTTAAACGGAAAACTGTATTCGTGACTGGCTCCCGAGTTTTAAAAAACGGAACCACGGACTAGTTTTTCAGAAAATTTTTCTAGTCGCCTGGGCCGATTGCAAGATCTGCTGTTACTTGTGGTGTGGAAATACAATACGTAACAAAAATAATAACCCTCTAGTTAGCCAAGGTAAGAGGTTTTTCTTAAATCTATTTCTTCTGCAATTTATTCAGAGATGAAGGTTGACTTGGATAACTTCGTCTTATGCAGCTGTCTTCCCTTGTAATTTTGTAAGCGTCTTTTTCCTCCCTTTTGTTTGTAATTAATTTCCTCTATTTGTCTTTTTTTTTACTGTCCTGGTTTCGGGGCTGATTTAGGTATATCTGTTTAAGGACAGAGCATTTATTTCTCTGAAAGAAAATTACTGAAAAGTACTTTTATGAAAAGTATATTACAATAAAATGTCAAATCCTAATATTTAATGTCAAAAATTTAACGTAAACAACTGTAAGGAGAGGCCCAATCCCAATATTTATTTGGCAACGAACCCATAAATAGACAAAGAGCAGTGCTAGGGACACTCGCTTTCTGCACTTTCCGGCCAACACTGCCCCTTTCATTGGGCCACGTAAGGCTGTTTTAAACTTTGAAATGCTGTGTTGGCCAACTAAAACAACGTGGCCCAATGAAAAGGGCAGTGTTGGCCGGAGAGTGCAGGAAGCGAGTGCCCCTAGCACTGCTCATAGACAAAAGACTTCTTTGCAACTCAAGAAATTTATTGAGTTTTTTGTGAAAAATAAAAAAGTTAAAAATATATTATTTTACTTGAAAGATTTTTTTTTTTTTGACAAAGATAATAATTAAGAGTTAGAGTTAGAAATTAATACCTTATTTTTTGGTAAGATTCGACCACTGATCGAAATACATTTTACCAACAGCCATGTTAGACTACAGTAACCACCAATGTGTCACAATAGGATAATACATACATTTTACTTGAAAGATTGATTTTTCTAATTTTAATTCTTTTAATCTCCACAACAACTATTGAAGGGAAATTTTCAAAAATAAAGTTGCTTAGGATAAAATTTTGAAACAAAATAAAGATTTTAAAGTAAAATAGAGGATATTCAAAAAAGAAACACAATAAAGAATAAATTTTTTTTGTTAACAGTTTGACTTCTTTTTTTTTTTTTTTTTGTATTGAAAGAGAAATTGTATTAAAGCTTTACTTCAAATTTAATTATTGAGGATTTAAAATGATCATTACTCTACTTTAAAATAAGCATGGTGTTTTCTTCTTCTTCTTCTTCTTTTTGTTATTTTCATTTTAACTTGTAATGGGTTTTAGTAAAGATGATAATTAATTATTAAGTTAAATTTGTATATTATATGTGCTATATTTTATATTATTTTGCATGTGATCAGAAAAAATCTATTTGGCCCCCCCCAATAATTTTGTCAAGCTCCATCCCGTTTCTGTCGGTCGGTATAAGCAATAATTCATCATTCCTCGCTTGCACAAGGAAGCACACAGGAAGCAGGACTGCGAGGATGTTTTGGAGGAGATCCAAATTCCAAGGGTTGAAGGAGGATGTGAGAATGCTGAAAACTGCAATAATTGGTATATATTCTCCTAACACTAAAATTCACGAGATGCATATTCTATATGTTTCCAGGAAAGAAAACTTTCAGCAGCATTTTGTCTTTCATCAGAGAATCCAAACAATGCAATACACAGGAGACTATGTAACTAATTAATTTAGTTTGTACCATGTTCTTGCATGCAGTTTAAATTTTAAACTTTTATTAGTATACTACTTGATTTAACCCATTATAAAATATAATTATTAAAAAATTATTATTTTTTCATATAAAATTAAAAATAAATAAATTTAAAAATATAAATATACATATAATACATAAAAACTAATTAAATTAATTGTATTTATATTAAATTTTAAGAATTGAACTAGACAAGTGTCAAAAAAATAGATCTAAAGTATACTAATCATTTTCTTTAATTTTTTCCCCTTGTCATGAGTGGATATGGGACATGCTCATGTGCAGGCTTCTGTCCTGATATTAATCTAACCACAACATTTCTGTTATAATTAAAATCAAATAGCTAGCTCTGTGATTGGAAAAGTACACGAAAATTCACAATTTTGTAACCATAGATGTTAGACAAACAAGCCTGCCTACTACCCGGCCCCCAAAGAACGTACCCCCACAAAAACTTATCTTACGTACTGACTTTATGTAGGTTGTCTTCTTCAATAGATGGTCCCTCTTCATTTTCACACACACTTCCTTGAGTCTTTCCATCCCATCCTCCCAACTCTCTTATATAGTCCCTCTCTATCGATACCGCTCTCTTCACTCTGTAGCTTAAATTTTTTAAGTCGAGTAGTTTAGACAACGAAAATTTCTATTATATATATGTATATGCACTAAGGTTCTTCGAGTACTAGAAATGGAATTAAGCATAGTGGCTGATTTCGAAGATTTCTTTCCATCAATGATTGAGAAATTGGGAGCAGAAGGATTCATGGTGGAGCTTTGCGACGGGTTTAGGTCATTGATGGACAGGGACAAGGGATTGATCACGTTCGAGAGCTTGAAAAGGAACAGCGTTTCGTTGGGATTGGACGACATTGGAGACGACGAGATTGTTTGCATGTTGAATGAAGGTGATTTGGATGGAGATGGAGCTCTGAACCTGATGGAGTTCTGTATTCTCATGGTGAGGCTGAGTCCGGGATTAATGGACAAATCAGAGCAATGGATGCATGTACATTGTGAATGAAATGTAAGGAGAAAAAATGTACAGTACCGTACCGTTTCTGTTAGCTTGGAATAATGTGGTTTTTTAAGAATTGGAACTAAGTGTTTTTTTTCCTTGTAAGAATTGAAATTGAGTGGGAATTATAAACTTGATTCCACTCAATTTTAATTCTTTAAGCATCTGCTTAGTTCGCAGAAAATAATTTATCGAAAATATTTCCCTCATTTTCTGATTAATATTTCAAATCTGAAAGGAAATTTCTGCAAAAACACGCAGGCTGGTAGCCCCGATGTTTCCATCCAGGAAGTTTCATGTTTTGACACATTTGAGAAATTTTGTTAAAACGAGTCCTCTAACTTTTATGCACATTGTAAATAAGTCCTATACCTTTTCTCCATGTACATTATTGGTCCCTATGATAGAAGTCATCAAACTTTTTATTCCTAATCAGCACCCACGTGGCAACATCTAACCATAAAATTTTCTGTATTCAACATTTGAAAAAAAAGTGGTGCTATAGGAACAACTTTTTACCTTATTTTTTATACAACTTTCACATGTTATTAAATGAATAGATGTATTCAATATCATGCATGGATCTCATATAAATTAAAAGAATTAATTATTTTAATGATACGTCAGATTGTATAAAAAGTATGATAAAAAAGTTGTACAAAAAGTATTTTTCTTGAAAAATTTTGGCATTTTAAGAATAAACTGTCCGTTTTTTATACAAAAAAAAAAATAAAAAGTTTTCCATTACTTACTAAATAATAGAAAATATTTTCTTTAAAAAAATTTTCAAAGTGTTACAAATAATTGAAAATAATCTTTAAAAAAATAATTTTCAATTTTAAGTCATTTTCTGCAAACCATATGGACCCTAAACTGCCATATCTCCATATTCCACCCAACCAAAACAGTCTCACATAACTATGTTCTTTCTAATATTGTTATGATTTCTAGTTGTTAATCATGTTTTGAGTAAGAAATTTGAAATGTACGTACAATATTTATTTAATCTCTACTATCTTTCTCTTCCCCATATTGGTGTCATGTTTCGAACATAAGAACAACAAATTCCAGTTTCATAGAGAAAGGATATCTTCACTAGAACAAGTTTTGCTTTAGACGAGGCATTCTATATGAGGGATTAATTTCACATGCAAGAAAATAAAAACAAACTAATTTCGTCACAAATTTCCTTTCTAATTAATTTTTGAAGTTGGTTGGCGAAAAAAAAAATTTTTAAGTTGATTTATAAATGCCATTAGAATAACATAAGATTACTCATTACCTCAATTAATTTATTATTAAGCAGAAAGCCAACTTACGCATGCAAAAAGTAACTAGAGGATAAGGTTAGTTTAATCATAGCCAAGGATTCAAACAACACTTGTCAATTGAAGCAATCAAATTCCCATGTGCCTTCTGTCTTTTCATACTTGAAAATTATTTCCCCTTTTAGTCACTTTTTGGCAATTTTTTTTTCTTTTACTTTCTTTTTCCTATTAATACAACTCAGAAGTTTGGCAGCCAAAAAAGACTGAAAGAAGTTGCAAGTTACATGATTTTTGTATGAATCATAATCATAGCTAGCTGTCTACTTCAGTGCTTAATTTCCTTTTGCTCTTAGTACATATAGCAGCTTTCAAAGAATTTTTCTTTTTTTTTTTCTCTTTTGCATGCCAAGTGAAGATTATATATATATATTTTATATTGATTATATAATAAAAAGTAATTATTTTTTATATTTTATTTTATTTTATTTACATATTATTCAATTTAAATTTAAAATTTTTTATTTTTAATAAAAAAATTATTATTAAATTATTTAAATTATTAACAAAAAAATTATACTAATAGTAATTGCTATCACGTAAGATTATAATTTTTAAAATTTTGTTTTGAGACTATTTTTTGTATAATTTTTTATTTATATTTAATATATATTATTATTATTTTAAATATTCTTATTTATTTTTAAGGAGGAAATGCTATCAGCCGTCACTCATTCCCAAACAGGTATTTAAACCTCTGAATTCTGCAGCAATGCAGAATCACGTGCAATTGCGCAAATCACACAGACCAAGTCCCAAACGCCGAACTGGATGGGCCAATAAAAGGTGGTTGTGGGCCTATTGCTCTAATTACCCGCTCAGAAACCCGGTCACGGGTATGGCCTTTGAAAAATGATTGTACTCATACAAAATTTTAAATATTA